TAATTTTTTGTGTTAGTTGTATTTGATGTTATGGGTAAGCAATCTGATTTTTTCCCAGCATTGCTTATTAAAAACATACTGTAAAATCTTATTTTAATTAAAACGATCATTTCTTTTCTCAATGTTTTATAGATGAAATCAGCCTGTATAAAAGCCCTTACCCGTATATTTAAAATATCTGACCAGGATAATGATGGTACTCTTAATGATGCTGAACTCAACTTCTTTCAGGTAGCTTTTTTAGCTTCTTTGCCCATAAAAGCTAAAAAAAATATTAACTTCAATAACAATTTGTTGATAAGCCTTTTTCTTTTTCATGTAAAACTACCACATCAAACTATTTAAGCCCTTCCTTAGGGTATAAAAACTCTCTTATGCCTAGGAACTGAGGAGACTCTGATAGTTTCATTTCATTGTATACAGTGGGTGTATGAAGAATGACTTAAAGCATGAACTCTGAGTCATTTTGCTTTCTTGGTTTTGTACAGCATAACTACACAAAGAATCTTGTGTTACAGAAACAGAATTAGTGAAGTTGGGAAGTTTCTTTTCTTCTAAATATGTCATGCTCAAATAATACAAAGAAGAGGATTTGTCTCTTTTTATTGCAACTGTGGTTTAATGTTGCTTTGTAGATTATTGTTTTATATTATTTGTGGGTTTAATGCTGGTTTATTTTTAAACTTAATTGTTTTGTTTTTTTGCTAGAGAATTTGTTTCAACACTCCTTTAGCTCCTCAAGCTCTGGAAGATGTCAAGAATGTAGTCAGAAAACACATAAGTGATGGTGTAGCTGACAGTGGATTGACACTGAAAGGTAGGTCAATGGTTTTTCCACAACCTTCCCCTACCCCCTCACCTGGCTGGGGATTGAACTCAGGACCTTTCAAGTGCTAGACAAACACTCTACCATTGAGTTATGTTCCTCAGTCCTTTTCCCATCCTTTTAAGCTATTGAATATTTTTAAATTTGGCCAAAGATAAAGATCTTTGTAGCAATATTTATACTTTAAGGAAATGTCAGTATTTACTAATATGCCTAAAATTTGACTTGGTTAGGAGATGAGGGTGGTTATTATCCTTACTATCGATATTAATTAGAGGTAGGGAAATTGGTTGGATCTCAAGGATGAAGAGGTCCATCTGAAAGACATATCTGGAACAAAATCCTTCCTACTCATAAGCAGCCTTTAAATAGAAATTATTTTTAGGGACTTTGTCTATGAGTCAAATTTTCCCAAGTATAGACTGTTCCTTGTTGACATTTTGTTGAGCCACAGTGAAATAAGAAGTGAAATGAAATTCCAGAATTTTCCATTATAAAAATAAACTCAAAGATCTATAC